GCAGCAGTGAACGAGGTAAGGTTCCTGTCTTCACAGGATTACCTTTTGTTGGAGAGATAGATAATACACAAAATAACTGTCGTGTGTGAGAAATGACCTTTGAGGGGCAGGCTGCAGAAGTTCCGCTTTATAGGTGGAGTATCCAAGAGTGGCACCAGAGAACTGAGATTGGAAACTGAACATGAGAATGAGAAGGAGGTGACTGTGTCTGGAGCTGGGTGTCCCTGCCTTCAGCAGTAAGGCGAGCTGAGGCAGGAAAGAGCTGGATGAGTTAGAGAATGTAGAAACTGAAAGAAGACTAGTTTGACCTAACTGACTAGGTTATGCCATTTGGACTGAGGTGGTGGCAATGGCAGTGGAGACAGGTGAGTCTGTCATAAGTAGTTTGGAAGCAGAAATGGCTTGGTCATTATTAGAAATAAGGGGACAGGTTGGAGTGGGTCACCATTGGCTTTGGTGTTTTACGTGGGGTGATGGTGCCATCAGATGGGATGACGCTTAGAAGAGGGATATGGAGAGATGGCAAGGCCAGAGGGTGCCACTAGCTGCTCAGTCAGAGCTGTCTTGTGCACCATTGGACATACTGCAGGGAGTTCAAGGAGTATGTCCAGCCTAGAGAAACTCTAGGGAGCATGTGCATGGCGTTGGAAGCTTTGGAATTGTATGAGGTCCCCAGGGAGAAGAGGAAAAGCCCAAGCTGCTGACCTGAGAGACCTGGTAGAGAGGTGCAGCAGCCAGGGAAGCAAAACAGTCAGGGGCATGTGATGTGGAAACCTGAGACGAAAGTGTCTTAGGAACGAGTAGTCACTTGGGGAGGAAAGGATTTATTTCATGTTACATCCATGTAACAGTCCATCACTGAGGGAATCAGGGCAGGAACTCAAGCAGAGACCATGGAGGAATGCTGCTTAATAGCTTGCTTCTCTGCCTTGCTTAACTACTTTTCTTATACAGCCCAGGCCCACCTACCCATGGATGGCACTGCCCACAGTGGGCTTGGCCTTCCTACATCAATTAACAATCCAGAAAATGCCCTGGAGGCATATCCAAGGTCCAGTCTGATGGAGGAAATCCTTCATTTTAGGTTCCCTCTTTCCAGATGACTCTTGTTTGTGTCAAGTTAAAAAAAAAAAACAGCATAAGAGGCACAGGGGAAGGGACTGATGACATCTGAAGCCAGGTCAGGAGGAAGGGGAGATGATTGAAACAGCTCATGGGACATTTGGCTCCATGGTTGTAGGGGAATGTGAAGGCAAGGCAGATTCATTGTTTTGTTTCAACAGTAGGAGATGCTGGTGTGTGTGTGTGTGTGTGTGTGTGTGTGTGTGTGTGTGTGTGTGTGTGTATGTATGTGCTGATGAGCCAATAAAAAAAGTAGTTGGGATCCTTGAGATAGACAGGTCTGGGATGTAGAACACTGGAAGACGGGCCAAGGAGGACAGGGACAAGGCTGGGTGTGGGAAGCTGAGAAGGCTGCTTGCACCTCTGTCTCCTCAGGAGGACTTCCATGGGAAGGCTTTGAGATGGGGTGTAGCTGGGGATACAGAAGCTGTCGTGCAGTATGGTCAGGTCAGTTTCTGGGGAGCAAGGTGGGGCTTAGTACTCATTCAAAACCTGTGGTCTTGCCTCAAGTGAAACCAGCTAGACCTACCATAAGATTTTTTTTCCCCAGCATTCAGGACCTTGGGTACAGACTAAGAAATGCCCATTGTGTACACCAAGGTTGAGTGGCTCAGGTGAACAGGGCATGCCAAGAGAGCTGGACTGACTGACTCTAGATGAGTGTACAGGCTGTGAGGACAGATAATGCCTGTGACCAACAAGCCATGGTGGCCATGGACAGCTGGGGCCTTGTGAGCTACAAGAGTCATTGCTGGTAGTCTGTGTGCTGGGTTGCTTGGGGTGGATGTGAGGGGATGAGATGCTTGAAGTCAGAGTTTTGAGGGTAATGTAGTTTGCTGGAGATAGATGGCTTTGAACTGTCACAAGCGTGTAGGGAGGTGAAGAGAGATGGGAAAGGGGGCTGTTGGTAATAAGGTCTTGGAGTTAAGCATGCTGTTTCATCCTTGATGGTGAACTCACTGGGTCATTCTAATAGGAGACACAGAGGTAGAGCAAGGTGAAGATGATGGGAGCAGTCTGCCTAGGCCCAGGAGGCTAGCAGATAGCCAAGTGGAGGCATGGGAGCTTCCAAGGAGGAAGTGAGATGGGAGCAGCAGTGGGCAGAAGGGGATCCTCCATGTCTCAGGGCTAAGGCTGGAAGCCTGGGAGGGGAGTCTTCCACATGGAGTGGGCAGCAGGGGAGACACTGGGTGGAGGGAAGAGTTTGAACATCGGGGGAGGACAGGGAGACACTGTAGATGTGTAGAGAGAGGAATCTGGTCATTGTAGGAGGACAGGGAAGACACTGGGTAGAGGGAGGAGTCTGGCTGTGTGGGAAGGAGAAGAGAGACAGCAGGTAGAGGGAAGAGTCTGATCATAGGGAAGAGAATGACCTTTGAAGTCAGCACTTCTAGATAGCTTTGGGAAGCAGGAGCTGGAGCTTTGAGACAGATAATGGAAGAGCACTGCCTCTGTGGGTCCAGATGGTGACGAGGGCTATCCTGGTGGCAGTGGAGGGAGCTGGAGTAGAGTAGAGTAAAAAGTAAAGGCTTGGTTCAGGTGGGACTTTGATCTATTATGCTGAGTGTGAAGTGACTGTTCCTGGCCTGGTGATGGGGTGGGTTGGGGGAGCATGCTGCAGCTTAGCCTTCATGCAAGTCATTTTGGTTTTGTTTGGTTAGTTGGTTGTTTGGTTTGAAGACAGGTTCTCACTATGTAGCTTTGACTGGACTGGAACTCAGTCTGGCCTCAAACTCAGAGATCCACTTGCCTCTGCCTCCCAAGTATTGGAATTATAGGCATGTGCCACCATGCCCAGCTTTTTTTCTTTTGAGACAGGGTCTTATGTAGCCCAAGCTGGCCTTGCACATGCTGTTTAGCAGAGAATGACCTTAAATTTCTGAACCTCTTGCCTTCACTCACAAGTGCTGAGACTTCAGATGCATGCCAACATACTAGGTTTTATGCAGTCCTGGGAGTCAAACCCAGGGCTATGTGCATGCTAGGTAAGTGGTTGTGGTCGCCAGCTGTGGCTGCTCTTCTCCGGCTATGGCCACTCTCCTGCTCTCTTAGTTCCTCTGATCAGTCATCCGGTCCAGACCCCAGGGCTGGTGGGTGAGGAGTCTGCACCGCCAGCTTCGCCGCATTCAGACGCAGGAGACCAGATTCAGTGACACAGATCTGCTTTATTGCAGGAAGGCACAAGCTTATATAGGGATAGTGGTCCAATCACAGCACAGCAAGTAGGATACCTCATTAGCATAACAGGTTTAGCATTCTATCACAGTACAGCAAGTAGGATACCTTATTAGCACAACAGGTTTAGCATCCTATCACAGTACAGCAAGTAGGATACCTTGATTCCAAGGGTGTTGATTAGGGAGTGGTGAGCTCTAGGCATCGGTCTCATGATCTACCAATGGGAGCAAAATGTCACAAGGCGTTCCTCGTTGCCTCAGGCCTGCTGTATGGCTGTTAATAAGACTTTCACCCTAGGCTCAAGCTTGTCTCCCACAAGTGGTATTCACTGAGCTACAGCCCCTGACTATGTTTTCCTGTTTTCTTAATGACTAACCTCAGAATGGTCTAGTGGCAGATCATAAAATAATTAGATCTAAGAGTTCATAAGCAAAGTTTTTACATTTAGAGGCAAGTTCTGTTCTTGATATACAGCATTTGTATTTACTAATACTGTATGCTTTAAGATTTGAGTCCAAAATACAGTATGTGCTCAGAGTATTTTGGAATCTGTTGGTCACAAGGCTTTGATTTTTGTATCTAAAAAAGTAATGAAACGTCATCTTTCTTCACCCTAAATGGTCCATAAAATTCACCACTGTGGTCTCTCCAAATATTCTGAAAGTAACTTTAGAAATATCCCAACTAGTTCTTTTGCCTTGAGCAGTATCCCGTGGCTCTGTCTGACTGCATTTGTTACCTTATCAAATTGATGTCCTGTTGTAATTTGGAAGTCAGTTATGCATATTTGGTGGCTCCTGTGGTGGTTTAAATAAATATCCCCCATAGGCTCCAAATATTTGAACACTTTGTCCCCAGTTGATGTCACTGTTTGTGGAGGACTAGAAGGTGCCTTGTGAGAGGAAGCATGTCACTGGGAATGGGCTTTGAGATAGCTTGTCTACTTCCAGTCTGTCTCTCTCTGCTTCCTGTACATGCTTGAAGATGTGAGTTGAGTGCTTAGGTTTCTGCTCCCGCTGCCTCCCATCATACCTCCCCACCAGGATGGATTCTTAGTCCTCTGAAACTTAAGCCCAAAAAACTCTAACTTCTATAAGTTGCCTTAGTCATGGTGTTTTATCATAACAATAGAAAACATAACTAATACTGCTCCCAAATTGTGAATGAGTAAATGCTAAAACCTAGGAGTAATGATCTGATGAATGTCATATTTACTTATTTATTTATTTAATATTTTACTATTTTTATTTTATGTGTACTAGTGTATTACCTTCATGTATGTAAGTGCACCTGTGTCGTGCAATGCCGGAGGAGGTTAGAAGAGGGCGTCAGATTCCCCTGGAACTGGAGTTATGGATGGTTGTTAGCTGGATGTGGGCTCTGGGACTTGAACCTCGGTCTTCTACAAGAGCAGCCAGTGCATCTCTCTAGCCCTGAATGTCATATTTATACAGTGGGACATATTTTGTAATCTTACACTGTAAATGTTTCTTTCTAGTAGGACGGTCTATGTCAGTTCTTCTTGGCCATTCTGGACAGGGAGAAGACAGTTATATTATCACGAGGATACAATTTGAATATTCCTCATATTTTTGTAAGCATACTTTTTACCCTTCAGAGATAAACCTAGTGGTAAGGATTTAATAATTTTTATGGAAAAAGTCCTTAACATTTAACGCTTGGATGGCATTTCCCCCCAGATACGCAGCGGCTGCACACATGCTGAGTGACATTTCAACTGCAGTAGCCAGTGGGAACTGGGAAGAAGCTAAGGCGCTTTCTCAAAGTGCAAAACAGGACTGGAACAAACTGAAAAGCCACCCTTCACTGAAGTGAGTTTTTGTTTGTTTTCTTTTAGTCTTTTCCATTGTTGGAGATGGAACCCATGGCCATCTCAGGCAAGTTCTCTACCACTCGACCACACTCCTAGGGAAAATTTTTATTTTTAGGTACCTGCTATATTAGTTATTTTTCTTTTTGCTATGACAAAATTCCCGACAAAAGCAATTTAAGAGTTTATTTTGACTCATAGTTCTAGGTACAGTCTATCGTGATAGGGAAGTCTTGTTGGCATGAGCTTAAGGCAGCTGGTCACATTGCACCCAAATTCAGGAAGGAGAGATTGATGAATACTGTTGCTCAGCTCACCTTTTCCTTTTTATTCGGTCCAGAACCCCCATCCCCCATTGACTGGTACTGTCCACAGTTTGGATGGGTCTTCCCATTTCAACCTAATCCAGAAACTCCCTCAAAGATATGTCCAGAGGTGTCTATGATTCTAGATGATTCCAGATTTTGCCAAGTTGACAATATTAACCATCACACCCACTAAAATTTACTTGTTGACCAAGTTCTTCTAATCACTTCAGCTAATTTTATTTGTGAAGAACATATTCTTTTTACTGATCAAACCAGTGGTAGGATTGGAATTTTCTATTCACTTTGCAGGGAGTGTTCTGCAGGAAGTAGAAGGAAGTTTCTGAAAGCTGAGAGTGAATTTTGTTTGACTCAAATACCCCCCTACACACTGGCATTCAGATGCACTCACTCAGCTTTCAACCTGCTGTCTTCTCTGGGCTCTGGGAGCTGAATTTCACAGGAAGGGAAGCTCTGAAATACACAAGACAGGGGTGGACACATTCCATTTGTGTTCTTCAAATGGAAGCTCAAGTGTGTGTGTCATTCTGGAAAAGACTGCTCAAGTGAATATTCACTTTAAAAGTTCCAGATGCACAGCATATGATCTTTTATTATTCTGTTTAATGAACATGAAACATCTTCAGTATTTTTTTCACCTTCGTTGTTATGTAGGGTTGAGAAAAATTAAGATCACCCAGTGTCTCGCAGAAAAACACATGTATACACATTTTATAATGAAGTAATATTGACTTAAAAATTATAGCTAGGGGCTGGAGAGATGACTCAGCAGTTGAGAGCACTGGCTGCTCTTGCAGAGGACCTGTGTTTGGTTCTCAGCATCCACATGGCAGCTGACAACTGGCCATAACTCCAGTTCTAAAGGCTCCAGTGCCCTCTTCTGGCCCCTGTGGGTATTGCATCCACAGGTGCACTTACACACATGCCAGTAGAACACTCATAAAATAAAAATAAATAAAATTTTTAAAAAATTATAGCCAGGAAGTTAGATTGGTAGAGAGAAGAGATAGATAAATTTCTTCTGTAGAAGGCCAGGTAGTTGACATTCAAGGCTTTGAAGGTTGTGTGGGCTCTGGCAGCAACTTCATTCTGTGCTGTGATGGGAAAGCAGCCACAGGCAGGATATGAATGAGCAAGTGTGAGTGTGTTACAGTCAAAGATCTGAAAATGCTGAGATTTGAGTTCTATGCAATGTTTATGTGCCAGAAGGTATTTTTTTCCTTTTGATATACTTTAATTATTTTAAAATGTTAAGAACCAGGCATGGGATGGGGAAAGGTTGGTTCCCGTGTTCCAAATTGCAGTTAGATAAGAGTAGTAAGATCTGGTGTGCTATTGCACAGTATAGTGACTATAGGTAGCTATAGACAGCAGCTTCCCTCATAAAGCTAGAGGAAAGGATTTGAATGGTTTCTGTCATAAAGAAGTGCTAAAAAGAGGTTGGGGATATAGCTTAATTTGTAGAATAGTTGCCCAGCCCAAAGCTCTTAGTCTGATCCATAGCACTGTATAAAAGTGTTTTGGTATATGCCTATAATTCCAACACTCAGGAAGCAGAGGCAGGAGATCAGAGCTTCAAAGTCATCCTTAGCTATATAGTAAGTTCAAGGCCAATCTGAGCTACATGAAGCCCCATCTAAAAAAAAAAAAAAGAAAAAAAAAAGCAAAGACAGAGAGGACTGGGTAGATGGCTTAGTTGGTAGAGTGCTTGCTGCATAAGTATGAGGAACTGAATTCAATTCCCAGCACTCATGTAAAAAAACTAGGCATGACAGCGTATACCTGTACAGCTAGTTCTGGGGAGACAGAGGCAGGCGGATCCCTAGGACTTGCTGATCAGCCTCTGTAGCCAAATCAGCAAGCTTCCTTCAGGTTCAGTGAGACACCCTGTCCAAAAAAATAAGGAAGGTTACATTTAGACTCAAAGATTACTGCTACTCTCGACCTTGGCCAGAGAAGCTTCTTTCTGCAGTGGACAGTAATTAATGGAGACTCATGACTGGTCAAAGTGTTGAGAATAAGTGTTCAGTCCTAAAGGAGACATTTGTATCACTCCCCTTTGTCCACAATGTTCAGGGAACATCATGGAAGAGAGGGCAGAAATAATGAAAAGAGCCAGAGGATGGGAAGAGTGCTGTGAAACGTTGTCTTCTGGACATGGCCATTACACTCAAACTCACAGCAGCCATGGTTACCTGAACAAGATCAAGCCAGCTGGCATTCCAGCATGGATGGGGGAGGGACTTGTAAGGCCCCACCCCTAGCTGAGGAGCCACTGGCTGTTAATGGCTGCTGGGGGAGGGGAGTCTTTTTCTTCAGTGGTGTAGCCATTGGTAAGTTGCCCTGCTGCTGAAAATGACCCCACACCTATGCTCATGTAAGCAGCCTGAATTAAACTCAGCCAGTCATTAAAACAATAAGAGACATAATGGTAGAGGGGACCTAATGGGGAAAAGAAGGGGTCCAGAGGGAATGGGAAGGGGACAAGAGAGGGTAATGGGGGGTATGATTAAAATAAATTATATACATGTATAGAATAGTCAACAAATAAAAATATTAAAACAAAGTGGCGAATAACTGAGGAAGAAACCCAGTGTCAAACTCTGACCTCTATGTGTGCACGCGCACACACACACACACACACACACACACACACACACACGCCCCGGATATGAAAACAAAAAAAGAAGTGATGAAAGTTTAAGAAGGTAGGGGCTGGAGAGATGGCTCAGCAGTTAAGAACACTGGTTGTTCTTGCAGAAGACCCGGGTTCGAATCCCAGCACCCACATGGCAGCTAACAACTGTCCGTAACTCCAGTCCCAGGGGATCCGACAGCCTCTTCTGACCTCCGTGGGCGTTGCATGACACGGATGCACTTACCTACATGCAGTCAATACATACATACATACACATAAAATAAAAATAATAAATAATTTTTTTAATTATAAAAAAAGAAAGTTTAGGAAGGTAGTTTGACTTGATTACACAGTGTAGGCATGTATTAGAATATCATGTGGTATATCTACAATTTTGGTGTTTTTGTGTATAATTTACAAAATAGATTTAAGTTTAAAAGTTATATCAATATATACGGAAAAACAAATAATAAAATGTACTTTAAAATAATTTTTTTAAAAATAGAGTGTAAACCACTCTTCATTTGTGGGTCTTAGTTGGTCTTCAGGTTGGCCCTGGACTTTCCTGTGGACAGGGCTGAATGCTGACCTCAGCGTACAGTTTACTGGTTGTTCTCATGTCATTTCACCAGCAGAGTGTCCTAGACAGGAATTCAGCCTGCTTTGTCACTTCTTGTAATTCTGTAACACAAAGCCAACTTCTTGAACCTCTGGTATACATTTTCATTTCAGATACCATGAGGATTTGCCGCTCTTTCTGCGCTGTTTTACTGTTGGATGGATTTATACAAGGATTTTGTCTCGAGCCGTTGAAGTATTGGAGAGACTGCACCTGTATGAGGTTAGAGCATCAGTCTCATAGGGCTCTGATGAGCATGGCAGTGAAGACTTCCTGGGCCCTTAGCATTTCCCACCTGTTAGATCAGCACACATAAGATGACAAAGGCACATTCAATGTAGGCACCCTGCTGTCCTGGGTTGGTAGTGAGCAGATAGCTGAAGACTGGCAGCTGTTTTGCTTGCTTGTGACTTGATTAGTCTGTGTGCTGGGAAGGCCCTTAGGAGCCCAGACGGGTCTCTGCAGCCTGACCTGGGTCTCTTTCAGAGATTGGTGCAAGACTTGGTAGGTCCCACTGGATTTTGCAGGTAGAAAGCTCACATCTCCTTCTGTTTCCCCATCAGCTGTCATGGTTCATCTGGAGGTAGGTTACAATCACAAATGAACAATTTGATCACATACTTAGACTAAGCATTAAGAAGTTGTCAGAGTTCCCTTTAATTGTGTATGGTATTTGTATATTGACAAATGATGTTTTAGAAAGCAGATATGCCAAGCTAGGTCTTGAACCTAGGGTGCTTAACTACCAGGAAGACCCATGGGCATGATGTGTGACGTGTGTATATATAAATATGTGTGTGTGTGTGTGTGTGACTGAGGTTTTTAAAGTTACATTGCTTAAAGGTGTGTGTGTGTGTGTGTGTGTGTGTGTGTTTGTGAGAGAGAGGGAGAGACAGACAGACAGACAGACACTGAGGTTTTTAATTTTTTATTTATTTTAATTTTTTATATATGTATATTTTTTTACTTTTTAGAAGAACCATTTCATTATAGCTTTAACATACTCAACAACAGTTTCCAGAGCAAAGATATATCTCTTTCAAAAGTGGCTATAAAATTTTTAGGTTCACTATCAAATCAATACAGTTATATAATATTGAACTCAGCACAAACACTGCAAGACACAAAATCGAATGAGTCTCCTACCTTTAAAAAAGATCTCCATTTCATTTCAAAATATACTATTTCCTACAGAAAGACACATTATTTTTGCTAATAACACTGTGATGTTGGCGCATGCGTCTCTAATCTGTATGTATCTGATTATTACTAGTCATAACTGTTGTACTCTGATCCTTGGCACCTGTGTGTCTATAAAGTCATCGGTCACTGGTAATGTTTATCACCTATACTAATTAACATGAAGTAAGTTTTTATGCTTCCTCCTCAAATATAATTCATTTTTTAAAATTTGATTTTGTGTGTGTGTATGTGTATATCACATAGAACATACCAAAGTATCTTATTCATCTATACACCTGCTTCTCAGATGGCACCCTCCCATAGACACCCCCCCACACTAGAGCCCTTATACTCTGTCATCCCTGCTACTGTCCGTTGTGTTGTCGGCACCCCCAGCCGTTCCCCATTACTTATCCATCCAGTGTATCTAGTCAGCCTCTCTGGAGGTCTTTGTTTTAGGAAGGTCAGCTCTTCCTCATCTAGCAGTGATCAGCTGTCAGTATTCCTTTATATAAGATTGGGGTCTCCTGTTCATTTTACCAGTTCTATACTGGGTTACTATCTGGAGTCCCTTGGGCCACCCTGGCCAACAACTCAAAAGAAGGTATCTCCTGTCTGGCATTGTTTCTTGTTATGTAGCCTTTAATTAGCTATAATGTAGCTGTATACATGGACTCTTAAAAATTATATTGGCCCCTTTACTCTTTGGTTATACTTTCCTTTTGGGTGTTTAAGGCCATACAGTTGGCCCAGATAAACCAATTTATTTTTACTCTTAAGGCCGTTTGAGGATCTGTTCCTCAGGGGTCACATGGGCTTGGGAGGAGCCCCTGCCTCCATTCTTTTACCAGTTCCACTTATGTGAACATAAGTCAGAGGTCCTGCTCAACCATGGCTGGCTTGGAAGCATGGAGGAAATGTTTCCTCTGTGTTGACCCTCCTCTTTGTAGACTAGACACTGGTTCAAATCCATCTGGGTGGGGTCTCCTTGGCCTCCTTGATCAAGAGGACAGGTGACCCACCACAATTACAGGACATTTTGAGAGATGCTCATAGTCCCCTGGAACTAGTCGACCTAGGAGGGCAAGGAACAAAAACTGTCCTTTATGTCCCTCTGACCAAATTAGTATAGGCCTCAAAGTATGTCTGTTACAAACATC